TTAGTTGGGTAGCCAGCCTTCTGAAATCCTTCGAGGATATACTTGACTTTCTCCTCTTGCTGATAAAGTATTCTTAGTGAATGAAATTGTTTAAAATAATCATGTATTGTTTTACTGTATAATGTATTTAAACAATGAAGTACTGCAACTAACCTGTGCCTACTCACATAATAAGCAGGCCATTGATTTCTAATCAAAGACTATGTTTTCTTACATTAGTATTTGATTTTATTTATAGGTGAACAGTGTTGACCTCAGAGCTGCAAGTCATGAGCAAGCAGCAGCCGCATTAAAAAATGCAGGCCAAGCTGTCACTATCGTTGCACAATATCGACCTGAAGGTAATACAATTCTTGTTGCCTGTTAGTATTGCATGTTCTTAATTTTACATTCTTCTTCTTGATAATGTTAGCTTTTTTGCCTTTATTGTTTTTGGAGACTGGCTCTCATATACCTTGTCTGTCCTTGAACTCAATGTGATTCTGAGGATAACCTTGAAATGATCCTTCTGCCACTACCTCCCAGATACCAGAGTTATGGTTGAATGCCACCATGCCTATCTTCACTGTGCTGGCAATCAAGCCACAGGCTTTATTCATGCTAGTCAAGCACCTGCCAACTGAACTACATCCCCAGCCCATAGTAATGTCTCATTTCTAATCTTAACTCTTTTATATTTTGTTTTAATTTGCTAATCCAGCATTTGCTCAGTCTAAACCAATTCATTTTCCAAGTCAGAAGTGTTTTTTCATTAGGGTAAGGGACACTTCATCTGCTAACTCTTTTGAGATTGTACCATTATTTGGATTAATTTTCAAGTTTCTTTTAATCTGACTTCCTATTTAACACATCTTAATATCACTTTTACTAAGTCATTGATTTGAAAAATTAATAAAAACCATAAGTAAAAATAATAATGCTGCTAAAGAAAATGAAGTTACTCAAGAGTTTTTTATTGAATTAGATTATACTTATTAATATAATATTTTCTGGTAGCATTTGTTGTTTAAAATAGAAGAATGAAGTTTGTATTATATTGTGTTTCTAGACAATAAAGCATCATGACATAGTTTGACTAGATTCCTAAGGGAAGAAAATAATAATGGAAAATGTGAGGTGATATCCTAGTAAACATGTATAAAACTCTAGTAGGCATCAACATTACCAGTTCACTAGTGAAACCTCAGTGGAGTTGATCAGTTTGGACACCCAGAAGAATACATAGTAGCATACTTGTTGATGTTCATAAACGATACGATGAGGAAGGAAAAGTGAAGTCGCTGAAGGAGCTAAATTAAATAATTTATAATTTAAGCATTAAATAAAAACTCTATAATTTAAGCATCTAAAAGAAATATAATTACCAGCTATTATATTTACTCTTATTTTCCTGGTCCAACAAAATTCAACTCAGAGTAATATGTAGTTTAAAAGTAGCTAATCTGAGCATTCATATGAAGGTGTTATAAACAGCAGAAAGTAGCAGCAGAGCTCTGCAACAGGTGACAGGTGACGTGTGACATGAAAGGTAACCTCAGCTTTCATAACAGTTTATGCATCCACTCTGAAAAAAACTACAAAGTAGAAGTCTAAGAGCCGGGAGAGAGGATAAGGTAAGCTAACAAAACCCAGAGACGCTGCAGCAATTCATTGGGGAGTATAGGACAGAAGCAAACAAAGTAAGACAGAGCCAGAGAAAAGCTAAAAATAGGCTATGGCGGTGTTGTCAAAGGAAAACAAGTGTGTGTGTGTGTGTGTGTGTGTGTGTGTGTGTGTGTGTGTGTGTAACATATCCATCATTAGCAGGTTGTACTTATGTGTGTGTGTGTGTGTGTGTGTGTGTGTGTGTGCAACATATCCATCATTAGCAGGTTGTACTTACATGTTTGTGTGTGTGTGTGTGTGTGTGTGTGTGTGTGTGTGTGTGTGTGTGTGCGCGCAACATATCCATCGTTAGCAGGTTGTACTTACGTGTGTGTGTGTGTGTGTGACAATAATAATGAAAGGAGGACATCAGTTAGAGAAAGTGAAAGAATGTGAGAGGGGTTGGAGGGAGAAAAGGAAAGGGGGAGTGATATATTTATATTTTAATTTAATTTATTTAAAAATCATTTAGAAAGTAAATGTTTGAAATTTCCATTCAATACATTCATAAGAACTTTCTACTAGCCAGACAGTGGCGGTGCACGCTTTTAATCCCAGCACTCAGGAGGCAGAGCCAGGTGGATCTCTGTGAGTTCGAGGCCAGCCTGGTCTACAGAGAGAGATCCAGGACAGGCACCAAAACTACACAGAGAAACTCTGTCTCAAAAAAACCAAAAAAAAAAAAAAAAAACAGTAAATAAATGAAACTATAAGAATAAACAATGCTAAAATGTTTTTCAAACAACAAAGCATAGGAGTAGCTGGAGTGATCATGCCTGCCGTAGGCATACTGCTTAGAAAGTTGAGGAGGAAGTTGGCAAGTTTGAGGTCAGCCTAGGCTACATACTGAGATTGTCTTTCAAAACAAAACAAGTAACACAAGGAAAACTCAGACAGGTGAGATGGCTCCGTGAGGTCAAGCACTTGTGTAAACCTGACTGTCCAAATTCAATCCAGAACCCAGCTGAAGGAGAGAGCCCAGTCCTGAAAGTTGTCCTCTGACCTTCACACATGCCATGGCGTGTGCACACCCACATGCACTCGTAATAGTAATCAATACAGGAATTGTTAAAATCAAAAGTATAGAATCAGTGGAACTCCTAGGAAATGCAGAAATGAAATGGTAGGTTTAATGCTGAATGTCCCAGAACTTCTCTGCCCCTTCCTTCAAAATAATTAGGAGAGCAAAAATTAAAATTTATTAACAGATCTACAACGGAATTAGGTGGAACTTTCCATGAGTCACAGAATAAAAACTGATCTAAGCAAGCTATGAACACTACTGAACCCCTCTGATATCACTGACTGTACAGGGCAAAGCAATAGGAAAAGCTCCTATTGAGTGAGTAGTAGCAGGTGAAGTAGGACGGTTTACTAGTAGCAGGGAGAGGTTTTGTGCAGTCTTTGTATTGAGTACAGTGAGTTTGCAGTCAGCTGGGAAGGCTGCAGTAGTTGGCCCATGACAACCTGCTCTAACTCACTTTGAATTCAAAACCCCACACTTGGAAAAAAACCACCGGGGATAAAATCCAAATGGAAAAGTAAATTCATAGGGTAAATACAAAAAACAGTAGGAGAATCCCCACATACTAGATTAGATCTTTGAACACTTGGCAGAAACAGCAAAAGAGGAAGCTCTGGACTAGAAGGATGACGTTATTACAGAGCCTCCCCAAAATTTTAGGGAAAGCCAAGCATTTAATCTCTGCATTTATCTCCTTTGAGTTTAAGGCCAGTTTGGGCTACAGGAGACCCTGTCTTTAAAAAAATAAAATAAAAAAGGATTCTGGAAACTAATTTTAGATAAAATTGAACAGATCAAGACCGAATCACATAGAAACCTGCTTGAGAACCGAAAAGAAGAATGAGAATACTGTCTTGACAGGTGTGTGCCAGAGGACACGCCCTTGAACTTACTGACAGCTGCTGTCTCAGGAGTACTCACAGAACAGAGTTGGGGTATGCAGAGAACAACCAACCACAGTGACTGCAGAGACTGAAAAACTCACTAAAATAGGAGAAGTTAAACTTCACCAAGACTAGTGTTTCCTTAAGGAAGTAGTGAAACTGGGGAGATGTTTGTACATTGAAGCGAGGCAGCTTCCTCTTCCACATCTTGATAAGTCTGGTCCTGACACCATTACACAGAACAGGGCACATTTCGGGGCTAGGGCAGAAAGAAGTGCTGTTGTGGTCCACTGGGCATAACCCGTGAGAAGGGCTTCCTGACAGGTACTGTCCTGTCTGAGTCGTCAGCACCGTCAGGAAGTAGTGAATGCTGATGGGCAGACACTTGTTACATACAGAAACATACTAAAGTGAATGCACATGGTAAGCCAGTATTTACCATGGTTAAATATAGGAAGGGAAAAGCTAAATATAAACTCTGTAATGTTGGATTAGAATTAGAAAATTGGGTATGAACTCAATTTTCAGGTTAGGTAGATGTAAATACAAATATAGATCTAAACATCTTTATATGCATATATAATTATCCATATTTATTAATTACCCCCAATACCACTGAGGGTCCGGACCCAGACACATCCTAGTAGCAATGAGCATGCATAGTCCCTAGGTCTTGCCTTCTAATGAGGAATACTTCATTAAAAACTGAGGCTTTTTAGATAGATGGCTGGCTCCCAGACTCAGGCGGGGAAAACGCTGTTATTTTGTGATACTCTGTGCCAAAAAGTAAAAGACTCAAGCAATGATGGAAACATACTCCAAAAAAAAAAAAAAGAAAAGAAAAGAAAAGAAAAACAAATCCAAGATGGAACAAGACACACTGGCCAAATTAACAATTTCTGCTACAAATAAGTGATATGATACTAACTATAACCTACTAAATGAACTAGGAAATCATGAGTCCTTACTACTGTTAGTTAATTGATTAATTAAAATCTTGATAGGCTAGTAAGATGGCTGAGCAGGTAAAGGCACTGTGACCAAGCCTGATGACCTGAGTTCAGTCCCCAATCCACACAACAGAAAGAGAGAACCAATTTCCACAAGTGACCTTTTGACAACTTGTGTCCACACGGGGTCCGTGGAATATGCATACCTTCCCCCAACACACTGAATAGTTGTTTTGTTTGTTTTTAATGTAAAGAGTTAAAAGATGTGCACAGTTTCAACAACTCACTTGAAATGGGGGAAGGAACCCGTCAGGCAGCCTCCCTCATCAAGTGGCCAGAGACATAAAATCCTCAAACTTAAGAAGACATGAAATGTAGGTAGATTACCCGGGGGCATCAACGCTCCTCTGCTGTGACTTGACTGCCAGAGTTGCCCAGCCTCGGTCTGTCTGTGGACACTCAGAAAAAACAAAATTAGAAGATACTTCACAGAGTCTTAAAAAGGCTATGATAATCTTCTGACTGAGGCAGAGAGTGACCAGGTTCACTGTACCAGGGAACTTAATGGTTTTTAACATTATAGTATGGTTTAAAATAGACACCTTCAAAAAAAGAATTTAAATGTTTTTTTTTAATTCTATGAATGTTACTTCTGATTACCTTTCTTATTTTGGCATTTTGACAATTTAAAAACTAGAAACTAGTTTAGTTTTAGTTCTATTATCTGGCCTGGGTATATTTTCCATTGTTATTAACTTTGCATAAATTCTGTATTTGAGAGTTTTTCTCTCACAAGGAAAATAGCAGGAGTCAAAGCATTTGACATTAATTATTGTAGACTTCTGTTTTAAATTGAGAACTGGAATAAGTCCTTTTTAAATTTTACAACTAAATTAAAAGATAATGAAAACTGCTAGTGTTATTTGATTCATGGAGTTTTCTTTTTTCTTTCTTTCGTTTTGGTTTTTTGAGACAAGGTTTCTCTGTGTCATTTTGGTGCCTGTCCTGGATCTTGCTCTGCAGACCAGGCTGGCCTCAAACTCACAGGGATCCACCTGGCTCTGCCTCCCAAGTGCTGGGATTAAAAGTGTATGCCACCACCACCCAGCTCATGGAGTTTTCTTTCAGTGGATCAAATGTAACTTGAACAAAGACATCCTCCACTAGTCACTTCTAATTTCTGGTACAGTTAGAAGCTTAATGATATTTTAAATTTGCAGCCATACTTAATGGCTAGAAGTTAATGATCTAACTAATTTAGAGTTTTTAGGTCATTAGGTCAGGGTTTTTTTTTTGGAGGGGGGGTTGTTTGTTTTTTTAAGACAGGTTTCTCTGTGTAATAGCCCTGGCTGTCCTGGAACTCACTCTGTAGCCCAGGCTGGCCTCGAACTCACTGAGATTCACCTGGCTCTGCCTCCTGAAAGCTGAGATTAAGTTAAAGGTGTGTGCCCCCACTGCCCGCTATTAGATCAGTTTTAAGACACCTTATATAGTTTACATTTTACCTTTAAAAAACTTGTTTTTAGGAATATTTAGTTTATTTCTTCTTTCCCATCAGAGTACAGCCGTTTTGAAGCTAAAATACATGACTTACGGGAGCAGCTGATGAGCAGTAGCATTAGTTCAGGGTCGGGTTCTCTTCGAACTAGCCAGAAGCGGTCCCTCTATGTCAGGTGAGTCTGTCTTATAATTGTGACATCACTTAATCACTTTATGTATACAGATTCTTTTGGGTTTTTACTGTGACTGACTTGAATTTACTATAGAAAAATTCAGTGCAAATCAATAAAAACATTTTCATGAGTGATTTTCTGAATTGTATCTTTCAAGAGTTAGGATATTATAATTTTAATAATTTAAATTATGTGACCCTTTGAATTAATAATGGTGTAAAGAAAAGCAAAATAAATGTGTACTAAAAAAAATTTAGGTTGATGTTTTAGTAATGACTACATAAGCTTGGTTGGGTCTCATTTACCTGCTCATATTCTCTTAAACATAAAATAATAATAAAAAGTAATGCTATAAAAGACTACATAAAACTCTAAAACTAGTTAGATCATTAGCACATATATTGTAAAAGGAAAGGGTGAAGGACACAGTAGGCACTGCATCCCACTATGTCCAAAACGGACCACTTTTTAAAGAACAATTAACTATAAACCAAAAATACCAAAAAAAAAAAAAAAATGTAGTGTTGGTTGTCATGAAAAAACTTTACCTTAATTTTCAGTTTTCAACTTCGACAAAAGAATTGATGTTTTGTGTTTCAGTCTGCTTGCCACAGTTGTCTGTGGTTCTCTTGGCTGTGTGCTGAAAGTGTGGGGATCACAGCCCGCCTTCGTCCCTGGTGCTGAGAATCAGACTCCTGGCCTTGTGCATGCTGGACAAGCACACTGCAGTCCAGCCTTTCCCTCTTCTTTTGAGAGAGATTATTTGGACTTAAGAATCAATTTGTTTAAATAGTGTGTGTTAATTAGTTAAATGGTAGCAAATACTATTTTCTTTTTAACAAATTTTAAAAAACTTTGTGCATGTCAGATAAAATTAATAAAGTATTTTAATTGTACCTTTGCAAACAAGCGGGGGAAGTAGTTAGCTGGTGGAATCAAGACTATTGGTGTAGTCTCATCTATGTCTACATCTTTGTTAACCTATGGACGCAAGTTTGTTTTTCTAGATATCTAATCAGAGAGGACAATAAATAATGTTTACATTGTATTTTATTAGAATAGCTATATTTCTTTTCACTTAAAAATCCAGTATAGTTTGTTATTGGATTATAGTGAAAGAAATTTTGGGTGCTGGATTTTTTATTTTTATTCTTTTTTGTGAGATGAGTGTCAGTATATTGTCGAGGCTCACCCTGAACTCCTTGACTCAAGCAATCCTCCTGCCTCAACTTCATGGCTAGCTGAGACTACAGGTGTAGGTCACTGTACCCAGAGATTTGTTAAATTTCTCTTACACACTTTACAAAATGTGATGTAATCCTCTGAACAGTTCTACAATATGTCATTATTAGTCCCATTTAATAGGAAAGAAAGAGCAAAGTGAAACGAAATGAACTGTCAAAGGAAAACGCAGTACACCAAGCCCCAGGAAGTGCTGGGCCCAGCACTGAAACCACCCTAGCTAAAGCATCTGCGTCCCCACCGACCAATAGAAACAGTGCTCATGAGTCACGTGGGACAGTTTTAGTTTCCTAGAAGTCACAGGGAGATAAAGAAGCTAGACTTCCCAGCACCAGGAGGCTGAGGCAAGAACAATATTGAGTTTTGGGCCCACTTGGGCTATACAGCAATTCCCTGTATCAAATAAATAGGCATCCAGTCTGTCCTAAAACACTGAAAGCAATAAATAGTACACTTAAGACTGTTTCCATTACAGTATGATTTCTGTGATTCCTGTTTGCTCTTACTGTCTTACATATAATGTGAAATAAGTCTAAACATTTTGTCTATACAAATACTCTACTAATAATTTGTTTGTACAAATTATATATGTTTCTGGAATCCCATATATTTTTTAAATGGATTAGTACCACTATAACAAATCATTATGAACTCTTTGATTCTGAATCTAGAGCCCTTTTTGATTACGACAAGACTAAAGATAGCGGCCTTCCCAGTCAAGGATTGAACTTCAAATTTGGAGACATTCTCCACGTTATCAACGCGTCTGATGATGAGTGGTGGCAAGCCAGGCAGGTGGCGGCAGATGGTGAAAGGGATGAAGTCGGAGTGATTCCTAGTAAACGCAGGTAAATGCTTTGCTGGCATTTCTTCCCTCTGCTCCCCGGCTGTCCCGGGAGCACACTGTGCTAGTGAGGTCAGTCTGATACAGACAGTCAGAGCCTGTGTCACTTTACGTGACCTTCCAAATAGTCCGGAGAGGGTGGAAGAGGAGTGGGAGGATGTTGGTCAAAAGATAGCGTCATTTCAGTTGTAAAATAAACTCCAGAATGCTACTGTGTGGTATGATGAGCCTGTAGGTAAGAAGACTGTTAAATATTTCACCACCCAAAGAATGTTTTAAAAATAACTATGAACTGGACCATGGTGGGGCACACCTTTAATACCAGCACTTGGGAGGCAGAGGCAGATGGACCTTTGTGAGTTCAAGGCCAGCCTGGGCTACAGAACAAGTTCCAGAACAGCCATGGCCATTACCAGAGAAACCCTGTCTTGAAAAACCAAAAAAAATAAAAAATAAATAACTGTGATTTGATAGGTATGTAATACCATGATTTATAGCAATTGTTTTTACCTATGAATATCAAAAATATATATAACAAATCAAATTATAGGCTTTATGTGTGAGGGAGGGCCTACATGTGCTGTGGCACACGTGTGGTAGTCAGGCCTCGTCTTCCACTTTGTCTGCAGCAGGATCTCTTGTCACCACTGCAGACACCAGGATGGCTGCTCATCTCAGCTTTCAGAAATCCTCCTGTCTCCACCTGCCATCAACGTAGGAGGGGCACTACCATTTCCTGTTCTGTGTTGATTCTGAGACTCTGAGCTGTGCACTAAACATTTTACACACTGGGCCATCTCCCAACCTTGTTTTTTGAGCCATGGTCTTGCTATGTATCATGGGCTGACCTTGAACTCTCAGTTCTCCTGTCTGAGCCTCCCAAGTGCCAGGATGCAGATGTGCATTACTATACTTTAAATATACACAGTTTAAAATTTTGGAACCCTAAGATTATTGAACTAATAAGTTGAGGAAGCTAATTAATAAATATCTTTCCTTAAATAGTGATTTTATGTATGCTTTGTTTTCCATGGTGTGATTCATAACTCTTGAAATCTATCACATTTAAATGTAACCAGTGGGGGTCCTGCTGAGGTAGCACACACTTTTAATCCCAACACTCAGAGGCAGAGGCAGGCAAATCTCAGTCAAGGACAGTCAAGGTTACATAGTGAGACTGTCTCAAACAAACAAACAAAATAGTAGCCGGTGATATAACTACAAAATATTCTGTCACCAGATTATCTTTGAGGGGACTGTGAAGAGATGGTTCAGCAGTTAAGAGTACTGATTGCTCTTCCAGGGGATCCGGGTTTGATTACCTAGCATGCATGAGGCCTGAGTTCAATCCCCAATACCACAAAAGAAGAAAGAATTTGTCAGATGCTTCATTCCCTTTTATTTCAGTTATCTAGACTTACTTTAAGATAGCCAGCAAATCTGGTATTAATGCTTATTATAGTTAATTAATTCATTTAGGATGAAGTTTGTTGACAAGTTGGATTTATACTTTTTTTAATTGAAAAAATACACCGTATCATGTCTGTTTCTCATATATAACACAAACAGTGCTACTTTGTTTTATTTGCAGCCCCACGCCACCCCCAGGTTTGTGCATGCTACACAAGCATTCTTCACTGAACTACACCTTAAGCCCCAGAGCAATATTAAAGTATTGCCAAGATAATTACTGATTGGGGGCGGGACGGGTTATAACTGTTGTTAGCTAGATCTATCTGCTTAGCAAGATCCATCTGTTGTATAATCGTATGTTTGATGGAAATCTTATTTTAGTAGTGCAGCCTTTGGCATTCCTCTTTCCTAGATTAGAATATAGTGTGTTTCAGTTAGAATTGCTTCTCTGCCTTCTTGATTCGACAGAAACCTCACATCTTAAATATCAAAGTTGCAGCTCCTAAAAATTGTCCTATCTCTGGAGTCTCGTATCCTACAAATGCTTCCCATGTGCCCTCACCCGCTGAGAAGCATACTGACTTGGGTGGAAAGAAAGAAGGAACACAGATTCACCTGAGGTGTCCATTCATCCCCTAGTTCCTAAATAGAATTAGGAGATGATTTTTTCTACCATGAAATATAGTAGGAAGGCACAACAAATTGGCCTTATTGTTTTTGGTTTTGTTTTTTTTTTTTGTTTTTTTTTTTTTTTTTTTTTTTTTTTTTTTTTTTGTTTTTTTTTTTTTTGGTTTTTTTTTTTTTTTGGTTTTTTGAGACAGGGTTTCTCTGTATA